TTTCGGAAGGGTTTCTGCATATTATAGAGACCTATGCAGAGAGCACAAAACCAAACCTGTTTCATTTTCGCCGAAAGGTTTTAGCAGTACCAGAAAATGTGCAAGGCACTCTCGATGGTTCGATCCCCCCTGGAAACTAAATTTTGCGTTTGGGTTTTCGCCTCCGGTTTGGTGCCGAATGTTGCTATATGTTTAAAATTGGATGTCATATTCATGGTTAGGAGCATTGAGAGGTCAAGAATAGCCGCCATCCTTGAATGCAAAATTTGTAAGCAGCGGGGGACCGAACCATGGAAGTAACACTCACTACTTTCTTGGTACTACTTAAACCATTGAGCGAAAATGAAACATGGTCCGTGGTCCATAACATGCATCCCATACCATATCTTACAAGGAACCGTTCCAAAAACGCGCGGCTTACCCTGGAAGATCCTCCTTGTAACATTGGGGCCGAGAGTATAGCAGAAAGCGGTACACAGAGACCGCCGCGGTGAGCAAGCACTGCTCCATCGGGCCAACCAGCCAGGTTCTATTTCCCTTACGGCCGCGAAAGTAGTATGATTTCCGAAGTTGACCGTATTCACAGACGAGACCGGTGCTCAAAAAAGTGAAGGTGGAGATGCCTTCACGTGAGGAATTAAGACGGAGTGGTCGACATTTCATTTGACGATTTTGTTTGGAGAAACTTTATGTAGTGGGCTAGGAACAGGAACGGTTATATGTTGAAAATTAGAGCCTATTGCTACAAACTCCGCCTGTTCTTAGAACCGTTTGGTTCTCACTGTCTTGCAAATGGTATTTCAAGTGGACATCGGCGTACCTTTACCGAACACCATTTGTTGACACAGCTCTCAGTCACTTGCCATTTAGCACCTAAAGAAATTTATTTCAGCATCTTCTTCGTATGGACACTGAAGATGGCTCGTAGAATACGTCCTAAAGCTCATTGGGGCTACTACGACTACCCGTTCTGTAACGCCCACGCTGGTGATACACCCAATGTATACTCTTGCAATAAGAAAGCCAAGCAGTACAATGACGAGTTAGTTCGATTCAGATAGTAGCATAAAAGCTGACTAGTATTTATTTCTCAGAAAAACTCACAACAAAGCTAGCAAATTAAGGTTGGACTTCATATATCGAACTAGTACAGCCTTGTTCCCTTCCATCTACTTGAATGGGGAAAAGACCGAAAAGCAGGCCTTCCGCTCCGTTCAGGTTGACATACCTATGACTTATCTCTGGTATTTCTTTACAAAGCCTCTACGGAAAAGTTATTTCAGGCATTTATCCAAGAGACTAGACGAGTTGCTGAAAAACGGAATCCTCCTTTGGAATTCTTCGTCTATACAAAATTCGAATATGACCCTTATACCAATATTACATCATTCTACAGCAAGGTATACTTTTGTGAACTAATTATATAGACACATTAGTATCTGAACATTTCAACTAGCACCGAACCGTTCGGGTGTTCAATACTTCAATAATACCAGATTCGCAATAGTCCCTTTTGGCGCTTCGGCTGGGACCGTATGCTGAATGTTGGGGAGGGGATGGAGTCTCCGACGGTAGACGGACCACTTCAACTCGGTCCTTGGAACCGACACAATTTGGTGCTTACCTCAGAACTAAGCCTAAAAGAGAGGACGGGTTCGTCCCCTCTCCGAGGCTTAATCCTGGGGTGAGCAAAGCAGATCTTCCGGCGGAGCTGCTGGACCAGCTGCACCACTTGTGTCAGTACTCTTCTATCGTAAAACCGAGTTGGAGTAAATCGTC